TCATACAAATCTCACTCACTTCACAACGAGCACGGCATTGCTGCCGTGATTGTAGGGAGTATTCACTACACTGCGGCTGGTAATACGAGCCAGCGCCACGCGTGCATACAAGGAAGTTTCAACGAAGCTTCCTTTTCTGCATAGTTTGCCTCCGAATACAGTTAGTGAGCGTTTGCACTTGCTTTCACACAACCTACCACGGCCATGTGAAGGCTCCTGTGCTAACTGTAGGAGGACCGTGCTAGTCCACCCCTACAGCTGGCATCGGTCGTGAAGAGAAAGGGCTTCCCAGAATAAGGGGGCGCGAAGACTGGAGATGATGTCAAGTGTCCGATGAGGCGTCTGGCGGCTTCATTCTCCGGAATTTGTGTACTTCCCGGTCGTCCGAAAATGTTCGTCTTTCGGGGGAATGCAGACCGTAGGACGTATGGTTCGAGAGTTTTGACTGGAAGCGAAGCTCTATAAATTGGATAAAGTGGGTATGTTCATCGGTTTTTGGCACTGAGATGGAGCATTTAGGTCTTATAGCCTTAGGCACACAGGCTTAGGGAAGCAGCGCTTACTGACCCTTTCTGTTGTGTGCTCTAGCTAAGCCTGAATTCCCTTTTGCTGATGCTTGGCAGCAAGGCCAAGCGTAGCAAAGCTGGTGGCAAACAACACAGCTTGGATCGCAAGCCTTGACGATAGAATCAATGGTAGCAATAAGGAGTCAACCTTCAGCCTCCTCTCATTCTTTCATCTTTCCAACGACGCGAATCGCGAGCATCACATGAACTTCGTGTCGTCTTAAACCTGTATTCAGAAGCAACGTCTAAAATTCTAAACAAACAAGCCGTGGCCATTCCATCCCTCATAAGGCGTAGAGCGCACTGCCGAATAGATTTGCAGGAAGGCAGTTGTTGGCGCCCTCTATCGCTTTGAATCTGCAGTTGTAACATCAAGCTGTCGAAGATGATTGCTGCCATCTTTGATCATGAACCAATAAGGGTAGAAGCAATAATGCTGGATCACTTTAACACTGGCCGCAGGAAAGCAAGCCCGGTACTTTAGCTATCAACCTCTGAACGACATAGTTTTACAACTGCACTCGGAGCTCTCACGACGGTTCTGTATGCACTCAAAAAGTAAAACTGGCTTCTAGACCTAAGGCGCGAATTACTTCAAGACGAGACTGAGTTTGGTCTATAGACTCAGAGGCTCTGAGCAATGCTGGGGATGGTGACCCGTTAGCACTTTCAGACATCAGCAGCATCGCGCTTGCATTCATGTGCATATACTGTGCATTCCGTGCAGTCGTGCATTCGGTGGGTGCAAAGCCGAAGCGTCCATTTACACGTGGACAAAGCAGCCTCCCCTCTGCTACCCAGAATAGTCAATTCAGCAGAAACATCTGTCTCGTTGCCTTCCAAAGCCTATTTTATCCAACGACGTCCATAAACTTGAAACCCATTGAGAATGCAAGGCAGCCAACGAAACGTACTCAATACTTGGGAGCTTGATTAAACGTACTCATCGTCATACAATGCCTTGCTTCCCAGCAGAACTGTACAGTTGGCGCGACCTGCCTACTTGTGGCTGTTCCGCCCGAGCACCGAGCCCACGCAGTCATGCCTGTACAAGCCCAACCTTCTTGGTTCGCCGTGACTCTGTGCTGCACTCGGTTCTAGGTTTGGTTACCTACTGACCCCAAACATCAGCATACCCAACTTACAGTGCACCCTGTACCATACCAGACGTCAAAGATACTTGTTTTCAACTTTCCACTCGCATTTCATGTAACGCAGAAAATAACCGTGAGACCTGGTAGCCGTTCCCCTGAAGAGCAGGACAAATGCTGCGACTCCTTTACAAGCCGTATAAAGCTACGACCATGTGAAGCTTGAGTTTGATACGAAGCATGAGCTGCACCACATGCCCTGCACCAACAATCTGAATCGAAAAAAGAAGAGAATTGTAGCAGGTCTCGCGCTGCAGGTTTGCGTTGAGCAGAGGGAGCTAGTGTGTGCATCACATGGGTATGCAGCAGAGATGTTTGTAATCGAGCATTCAATATGTTTTGGGACGTAATGCGTACAATAGCCGTCAAGGGGTTCTTTGCTTCCCACGGATACCTGTGCAAATCTTATCTCCTGTAGCAGCAGGAAACTGGCTGCAGCGCTCCTATGCGTCCGGAGCTCCGTTGCTTCGATGCCATGAGTAAATATGGCGGCACATAACACACCGGGACGCTAGCCCTGCAACACGTGGTTATTGCGAGATCCAAGTTGTCCTAAACGCATTATAATCTAAACGCATTATCATCGCAAACAGCACAATCCGATATCAGTCACATCCTAAAGAGAAGTTCAGAGATACAGATAACACTTCTGGGGTGACACTTTGTCGCCCGGCGCCCCAACACTGATCTCAGTGGTTGTTCCCGCGAGCGGGTGAGATTTTGATCAATCCCGAGAAGAATATCTTTGGCTTTCACTGTGGCGCCAGTCAATCAAGCACCATACCCTGCAGCAAGCACCATAACCTGCAGCAGGCAACACGTACGAAGGGCTCTACAAAAACACCGTCCAAGTCCTGCGTGAGTCCACGGTGTCGCGATGCCGCAATCCACCAACACTCCACCCACAGTTGAACTGGATACGCGAGTCCAAAAGCATGAAAAGAGCTGTAAGGGAAGAGGCATGGGAACGCCCAAACCCTACCCCTAGCCTAAATACTGAAGCCTTAAAAAAAGCCACTAGCACCCTAGACGGTCAAACCGGAACCCTAAACCACAAAACCGTAGACCATAAACCATAAACCCTACAGCTACACAGAATAAGTCTGGCCGCACAGTTTTTTGCTCGGTTGCTGGGGCGCCAGCCACCATTAGGGAATCGCTTCAACCGCCCTCCGGGAAACTCTGTACTCAGTTCTAATACCATTGTATCCCCCTTAACTTTGACAAACTACTCATACATAAGTAAAATAGTGGATTTCGAAGATAAAGTCTGTGGTCGTTGTGCCCGATGCAGCTGTTAGACACCGAGCCACCAAACATGAGCTTGGGGCATACCACTGATCCCTCGTCTTTAACTCCAGGCAAGGGGAGGTGAGAGGGCATGTGTGATACCCTGCGACTGAAGTTTTCGTACGCCTCTACGACGTGCATCTTCTGCACGCAGCGTTTGTTTCGTGAATGCCTTCTATTCACCTTGACCGCCACGGGGAGGCCCAGCGGCGTCAGAGTGTGCAGCTCATGCTCTTGCTTCAGCATGAACAGCGCGGCTCGAAGCAGGTGCCGCTCACCTGAGGCGACAGGCGCATAGTCCTCAGAAAACTATGTAGTAAGCGACGAGCCCGAATCAAGACGTAAGTGACTGCAAATGAATGAGAGCTGACGCCCAACGGCCTCAACAGTTAAACGCCTGTGTTCCCTGTTTGCCCCAACCGAATCCCCGGTGACTGGTGCCGACGAACATCGGCGTAAAGCACGAGTTTTGCCGTGCAGTAAATAGGAAACGTGCAAGCAAGCGGTGCGGGGACAGCTCTGCTCTGCCTTCAATCCGGAGTCCCCTGCAGCTATATCCTAACGCCCTTACGATTTCAGTACAGAACTACACAGCACAAGCGTGCTCCTCGTTGTCTACAGTTGGCTGCCTACTTGCCAGCATCGGGACAAATCAACTGCAAATGGGCGGTCCTGCAAACTCCGAAGTTAGAGACATTCGCGCTGCCCTCCGTCGGCCAAACGAGGCCATACTGGGGCAGGCGGAGTACCAAAGCGTTTTGGTGACTGGCTGCGGTACGTGTTTGCATGCGATAAGCAGATATATGCAGGAAGCAAGCAAAAACAGCACACGAAGCCCCGTAAGAGCAACGATGCCCCACAGAGTCAAGGTGTAGGCATGCACCGACGAGTCGTTACTGCAACACCAGCTGCAGCAGACACAGCAAGACGCGCTGTGAACCCTCTGCGCACTCGAATTTGGTTGATATGCGAACATGTTGGGGTGGAAGGACGCCCGCAAGCAAACGTGTACGAATGAAAAGCGTACACTCTACAAATACAAACGCTTATTGAAGTATACTGCGCATGCAGCGTCGCAAGCGCACCAGCACGTTCACAGACGCATGCAAACGTGCGAAGATGCATCGAGACGGCTATGTGAGCTGGTGGAAAACTCGGAATGGAAGCGCGCCGAGAAGAAGGTAAACAGATGTGCAAATTTACAATGCAGATATAATACATGAGAAACGCGCAAGGCATCAGAAGTCCAACTCTCCCCCTCGCACCGCCGAAGAACGGCTTGGGTCTTCTCGCCCTCCAGGCCGGTCAAAACGAATGACATGTTTTTCCGCTGCACTCAGCGAGTCTTGAGCTTCGGCCCCCGTTCGGATGTACCGCACAATTCTGAAGACGCACAGAGAACCGCCACAAAAAAACGCCAACGCCTTGAATCAACACCAAGCATGGCCCCCACAACACAATAGACAAAGCAAAATGCGAGGGGAGAAGCGACACACACCTGCCCGCTAAAAAAGCAAAACATTCAGAGAAAGACACAGAGACACAGACACAGACACAGACACACACACACACACAAACACACCACACACACACACACACACACACACACANCACACACACACACACACACACACACACAGATAGATAGAAAGACAGAGGAAAACGGAACAAACGGAACGTGGAAGAAAGCATCAAAAAAACGCACGCAAGCCACATGGGACCGTAGCAAATAGCACACGGAAAGCATCAACCGAAAGCGAACAAGCGACAGCACTGACAGGGACGCACGGCCAGGATGAAGCCTGTCCATGTGCAGATAGGAAGCGGCAAGAAGGGCAGGCAGCGAATCAGACGAAGAACAAGTGGTGTGAAGGCATGTGAAGTCTCAAGAGAACTATAAGACGACGTCAGAGACCCTCAATAGTAGGATCTTACAGGCCCGTCACCAGAGAGAAACAGCCCAAGGGAAACAGCAGCAGTCAAAATCATATAACGACCTCCCGAATGGGGCAGCAGAGCATCCAACAGGAGACAGCAGGGCAAAAGGGGTGAAAGCAGCACTCACGGGGAGCCAACGCGGGTTGAAAGGAGGCAGCAGCACTCAGGAAAAGACAGCATCAGCCCGACGGTGACAGCAGCCATCGAAAGCACAAAACACCGGCCAAAATGAGAGTCTAACAGGCCCACTTACCTCACAAACTGCGCCACGTATCGTATTGTGAGGAGAATAACCGTAACGAACTCATCTAGAGATTCCACCACGCCAACCTGAGCCCCGCAAGCCGTCCCCAAACCAAAACCCCTTCATACTACAGCCTAAACCCTTGGACTATAGCAATGATGCTACTTTAATCTGAGCAGTTCCGGCTTGTACTTAAGGATTTAGGGTCTATGCCTCTGGCGGCCAGAATTCAAGCGTGCGTCCTCACTCACCACTTCTAAAAGCAGCAGCAGCCAACTGACAAAGCAAACCAAGGAGACAGCGAAGTCAAACACGTGCCATCCGCTACTCCAAAACGGCTGCAGCGCAGGCGCACTCCAGTAAAAGCACAAATTCCACCCCCCTTAGAAACCCTCCCACTACTACGCGCCCCCCATCCCCCCCGGCCCCAGTATGCAGAAGCCTTCGGCTGCTGAGCTGGCTTCAACCGTGAGGTGAGAGTCTGAGACTTAAAGGTTTAAGGCTTCACCCAAAAAGCCACAATTCACATGCATTACCTTTCCTAAGAGGATCATGTCGGCGATCGTTTCAAAACAAACTGCGAACGTTATAAGTCCGTCGACGACGCAAACCCACACGGGCACAGGGTTCTTCCGCTGTACACATGGAAACACCAAACATTAAGCTATTCACCCAGGCACACGCAACACATCTCGGCTGCCGGTGGCCATGTGCTCGTGTGGGGCGCAACGCTGGTAAGAAGCAACGCAACAGCGGCATGCGCAGGGTAAATAGGGCAGCACGAACAACATTATCAAAAAGCAGGAACAGCCAGAGCACATCCCATAAGAGCCTCCTCTTGCATATGAGGTAAGCCCTATACCCTAAAGATGAAGCATACTTCCAGCTATAAGACTTACAAAGTGGACGTCTACGATCATGAATATGACAAGACACAGAGTCGCGATGGCCATGAGGAAGCAGTAGGCAAGATACCATCTTGATAGCCGTATGTTGTAGATAATCCCTTTGCCTATGTCGTTCTGTATAGACAGCAGTTCGGCGCTCTTCGCCTTTTGCCGAGATGATAGCAGCGGGTTGACCTCCCGGATGCGGCCCGGTGGAGCCTCTTCCTGTTTTTTGGCTTCCATATCGTTTTCTGCGAGACTGCGCAATCTCTACGCCGCTCTTCCTGCTCCTGTTGTTGCTTCTGCCGTTGCTGCTGCTGCTGCAGTTGCCGTTGGATTAAGGGCGCCGCCTGCACCTTCTGCTGGCGCCTACGACGGCGTTAGGCTCAGGCCAAGAACTCCTCGCACTGCCCTTCTTCCTGCCCATCCGCCTCAGGGTGAAGGCTGCTCTGAACAGCCAGAAACTTGCCGCCCGTTCGAACGATGGCCGCAGTCGAGGGAGCCTGTAACGCCCTTGTTTGCAACGCTGGGAAGAACCAGGAAAGCAACAGCTGTGAGATAGATCAGCGCAAAAGATGGTACACAGCAATTATCCGTCCTTGCTTCCCCGAGAAGCAAGACTCGAGGGGTAAATGCAAGCAACGCCGCAACCGCTGGCGCCGCTATCGGGGAAGCGCGAAGGCCACCTCGCTGCTTCGGATATAGCTGGGGAAAACAGGTTCGTTTTGTTGCGTTTTCGAGAAAAATCAATCGAAAAATTCACCTTGTAGCGTTCTTGGAGGTTGTGTCGAGAGCTTCACGGAGCAAGAACTGGTGGGCCCCGCGGCAGCTGCTGGATGAAACAAAAGGCCCAGGCCTTACATAATGAGACACAGCTAAGTTTACATTTTCAAAACCAGTATTATGCCGACTCTTCGTTGTATTTACGTCACGATATGCAACCTGTGTCCGCGTCCCGCGTTCCTGTTCTACTGTTTACCTACCGCGCCACGGAGGGTGTTTGGCGCCAGTCAACTGCGCTGCGCCGTGGCGGGGTTGCATTCGCCTTCACCTCCTAATAAGTTTCTTATTCAACACTGTCAAAGGCTATTTCTGCCCCTACAGATGCTGCCTGCTCAAGGATGCACCCGGATATGAGCCCATCGACGATGCCATGCCCCTGTAGCTTTGCTACTATAACATCGTAGCATGAGTTAACGCGGAAGCCTTCACCTGGTTTTGGCACGTTACAAGCTAGCCAGCCCCTTAAGGAAGCTTCAGGGAAGCTTCCTTT